CCTGCCGGCTCCAGCCGGCACCGAAGGCTCCCGGGGGTGAGGAGGTGGCGCGGCCGATGGGTCGGTCGGTCGGGTGGACTCCCACGGCGCCCCATCCCGCAGCGATGCCCTGTCAGCTGGAGCAGGACCCCGTAAAGCGGCGGGGTTTTAGGCATGAAGGAATGGCGAGGCTCTCGGGGACAGGCCGGTGTTGCAATCTTGTTACTCATTTCCTGACCGAACGGCGACCTCGCAGAATTCAGAGGTACGAGAGAAACAGGATTTCAACTAAAGGCATCTCTCAAGCGAAGAGAGTAATCTCAAACCCCTCGAGTTTTGGCTGTAATCCTGCACTCACTCTTCCCGGAATAATATAAATCCCTTGGAATTTAGTGACACCTTCCAAGGAGACATGCTTAGGATTGATGCTCTTCATCCTTTCATATTCTTCCATCTGAATCCAGAATAACGATTCCTGGTTCCATTTTCGGAGGCACTCCTGCAATTTAGAATTAGTATTCACTTAAAAATGAATACTCCTTTTAGCAAACCTGATTATGAGTATAAAATTTAACCTTCCTGTAAAACCACATGTTTCCTCAATATATCATCCGCTTTGCACCTGAGATGTATTTGTATTATATGATTCATAATTTGAAAAGGTTTTTTTGCACTATTCTTATGACTTTCCTGGTCTAAACGCTTGGCAGAAGTGCTGATTTCTTAACGCATTAAAGGACTTTCAATCAAGGACAAGTGCCTTAAAATAGCCGGATGTTTAATATCTTAAGCAAAATACACTTAGCAAAAATGTAACACTATTAGGACACATCAGTATCATTATTCACTTTAAGATATCATCTAAGAGGAGACAAGTGGAAGAATGTTGTGTTTTACACAGTTAAACAGACCACTAATTACTTTTACAGTATTAGAATATTTCACTTTTTCTCCAAAACACTCAAGGCAATGTTTTTATCCCCACACCCTCCCATTATATCCTTGGGTTAACCTTACAAAATAGATTATGTGGGAGAGAGCACCTGGCAGCGAAGGGATCTGAACACTGCAAAAGTTTAAACCATGAACATGAAGGAATGTGAAATTAGATCTCTCACATCATAGTCATGCTTATTACATTAATGCCAAGGTAGGTAATTCCTGGTATGTATATTTTCAAGTGTGTGGTTACTGTATTATAAACCCTTCATGTTAAAGAGCATAAATAAGTTATCTTCCAGCTAGTTCCCAATAGTCAGACAGATTGTAAGATAGCTGAGAAATAGGACCAATATTGACTTTAAAGCTGTGCAACAGGGACTCTGGACAATTTGCCAATGGGGGTGTGTGCCAATGAGTGGATATCTCTTCTCCCTCATGCCTGTTGCCAGTAATTTACTCAGGAAGTTATAGCAGAATAGGTGTGGGCCCTCAGCTAGATAATGGATCTCAAGAAGATTATAATATGACTAATATTGATCCTGAACAAAAGCCAGGTTTATATAGACATTAATGGACTGATATTTCATGGCTGGAGTTAGTGGGTAGGCTTGGTAGAGTTATACAACCTAAGCCCTAAACTATGGTTTACAAACTACGGGAGCTGAATTTGCACTGTAAAGGATTCAGTGCCCTGTGGAAAGTAAAGGGCTATATGTATGTTGGAAGGTGGGAAAAGGGGCATAAACCTTACACACACACACTTCTAAATTACAGTCATGTTTATTATTATGGTGCTTTTCAAGTAAATAATTTGTGGTTAGCTTAACAAATTATACATACATTTCTATACAGAGCTTTCTTCAGTTTCTTAACTGTCTTTCTCCCTGATTCACACAGGTGTTTCTTATCACAACAGATATATGCCATTAGGTAGCTTCATTATTTCCTCTCAGGCTTAATTTTAGCCTAGAGAGGAGGAGTGAAAGAAGGAAAAATAACTCTTTCCCTGAACTTCTTGGAATCATAGCACCTTGGTCAAGTTTTCCTTGCTACCTCCTGGTCTGTCCTTTCCAGCATATGAGAGAGGAAATAGAAACAGAAGCAAGCAAAAGCATGAAACTGTCCCCAGTATAGTGCCAGTAGGATCTACAGTATATACCTACCGCCAGCTTCCTTAGTACCTTCCAAGCTCTGTGCCCCACCTGATTTTACTTTTGTGGATTTATTTTACTTTAACAAAAGCTTCAAGTCTGATCTTTAGTTCCACTACAGTCCAGTGCTTTGTTTGGAAGTGTGCCTGCTTCTCTAGAAAAAAGCAAAAGACAGCCTTTGGTGAAAAGCAGAGAACTTGCACTTTGCTTGTTCCTGGTTTAATAATTTTTCATCTATCTACCAGGTCACCCCCTTGGATACTTGTTTTCTTAATAACCATCACCATTATTGCATCACATGTCTTCAAACTTTTCAGCCCATGGGGACATTTGGAATTTTGAGAACATGTCATATGAATTTTAAAAAAGAAGGTTCTATGGAGATTGTGGAAAACAGCATTTACAGAAGGCAAATTAATAAGGCTGCTCCCTATGATCTGCTCTAACCACTTTTCACCAGAACCTGAGATCTACCAACTGGATTTGAATTCAACAATTATTGAATTCAAAACTTTGATCTGTAGCAGACCTGAATCTCATAATAATGTACAAAAATTAGTTTATCTAAAGTTTTTATAATTATAGCAATATAATTTAGAATGGTGGGGTGGTAATTATCTATTTATTTTTAAATAAATTATAAATTTATTTATAAATATATTGCCCCCTTTTCATCCCAAATGGATTATTACTATTGCAGATCAGATGACTGGAAGTTAGAAAGATTACTGATCTTTCATGTTTTGAAACATAGCTATTTCTGAATAACCCAACTCAATATTTAGAATAATTTTATTCTGCAGTAAATAAGAGCATTTCCTATTCTTTTAAACTGAAAAGTATAGACTTTTTAAATAGCCCAATGTTATACCTCCCTCTGCTGGGTTCACAGTGTAAATACTGAGAAGTTAAAATAGCATTAAAAATGTAAAATGCATGAAATTGCTCAAACCTTTGAATTTCAGAGGCTCAGATATTTTTTAATTTGTAATTATTATCTGATTTGTGGGGTCCTTGGTGCTCTTGGGGCTTGGTTGTTTCATTACTCAACCAGGTAACACCATCAGTGCAAGTGATGTGGGGTTTGCTCCCTGTTTATATACAGTAGCTTGCCCTGGCAGTTTTGGTGGAGGTGTTGTTTTCTCTTTGGTAGTTCCTTGACTTGTTATTTTTTATTGTTTTCTGCTTGATTGTTTGCCTGGTGTAAATCCCTGCTTATCTAGGTGTTGGCTGCTGGAGATGATGTGTTCTAGTCTTTTTGTTTCCTTCTTAGCTTTTTTATTGTCTCTTTTGAATGGTATGTAAATATGGTTTATTTCTTTGTATCTGTTGATGGTTGATTCATCTGAATGCCAAGCTTCCAGGAATTCCCTAGCATTTTTGGATTTAGCTTGGTCTACGACGCTCACTGTTTCCCAGTTAAAACTATGGTTGAGTCTGTCCATGTGTTGTGAGATTAAGGAGTTTTCATTGTGTCTTCTGACTGATGGTTGGTGTTCATGGATGTGCTCTGCTAGTCTTCTGCCTGTCTGTCCTATAGTATGTGGTAGATGACTCCTGTTTTTTCTTGTTGGGCTACTGGACTTTTGGCTTACTTAAGATGTTCTGGAGGGCTTTAGTTGGATTGTGTGCTACGGTAATGCTGTGTGGTTGTAATGTTTTTGATGTATGGTAGTATTATCCTTTTCATAGCTTGTGTTGGTTGTGCTGTAGTGGGTTGAGTGGTCAGGCACTTTTTGATAAAGTTGCATGGGTATCCATTTTGTTAGAAGATATTGTAAAGGCGGTCTGTTTCCTTTTTCGGGTGTTCTGGGTTACTGCAGTGCGTTTGTTTTTATTAACTGATTTCTATGAAGTATATTTCTATTTACTCTTCCAGAATCAGTGCTCTGGTGGTTCATACAATGTCCCCATACATCTTACATTGATATCTGCAGCCAATACTTCCCACAACCTGTGCATATATTTAAAGGTTTTCCATGCAAAGTAGGGCCTTGCACTGAACAAGGGCCCTTCCTCACACAGAAGAGGTCTACCTGCAACTACACCATTTGAACATATAAAAAGTGCAGCTATTTTTTTTGCTTTGGGTACAATAAAGGGATGTATATACAGTTGTGCTAGTCTATATGGTTAGGTTAACTTACATGATTGTCATGTGCTTTTTACTGTGAATATTCTTATTCCACACAGAGCTGTATCATCTTCTTAAACATTGTGAATTATTATTAATGCACTTATGAATTGATCATTTCTGGCTTCAAAAGGTTTCAGGCAATCTCAGATGGTAACTGTTAAATAATCTGTTTCATATGTAACCTGACTGTGCATTACTAACTTGTTTTCTTCTCATTCCTCCCTTCCCAATTTAACTCCTAGGTCAGTCTAGCCACTTTATGCATCTGGTGAAGTGAGCCGCAGCTCATAATAAAATTTGTTAGAAAAGATGCTTCCAGATTCCTTCTGACTTTTTATCACCATAGACTAACATGGCTCTCCTCCTACAATAGTTTGTTTTTCCTATTATTATGGGGCTGGACTTGATAGCCTTGTATTAGAAATTTCTCCTTTATGAGATCATTTAGGAACAGAGATCAGGACGTTTATCAATAGAAGCAGATTTTTTTTTCTATTGCTGCAATAACAAAACCTAAAAAGGGGCAGGAATGCAATCCTCTTACATAGATTTTTGAAGATCAAAGTATACATGTAATCCATGAAGTCAGAATTAGTGCAGTAATGAAGATGGGATTACGCAGACAACAGTTTTAATAAGAATACAGAGGCTGTGTGTTAGAATAATGCTTACTGCCTTTCGTTTTCAGATGGAGCAGTGAAAGTGGTACAGGCTGGAAACTGGAAGTGGTATTATGCAAGATTGGTAAGGACATAATTTTTCCCCTTTGCACATATAGAAAGGACTACTTAACCAGCTGAGATAACAGGTGTAAGCTTTGCATTATAAATTCTTCCACAACATGCTTAGAAAGAGTTATATAGCAAGCTTTGTGGATTGCATCATT